GTAGCTCAAACTTTGCAAGAAATCGATGAAATCGATATCGATCGATGACGAAAAGTAGCCTATGACACCCGCCGGGGCCCGTAGTGTATGTGTGCCAAGTTTGGTCCGGATCGGTTCAGAAATGGAATTTTCTATTCGGAACATACGTACAGACATACAGACAGACAGACATACAGACAGGCAAACAGATATTCAGCTTTATATATAAGATAAAGGCGGCTTACTAGGAAAGGAAAAAGCGGCCAGGAACTCCGAATGAATGCGGGAAGTGAAAAGGATGTTCAAATACTCGGTTGTTCTACCTCCATTCGGAGGTACAACCACTCGGTTGTTCTACCTCCATTCGGAAGTACAACCACTCGGTTGTTCTCCTTTATTCGGAGGTACAACGACTCGGTTGCGAGGACAACCGAGGTTGTAAAAAAATTGAACCAATGGCTCAACACCTTCGTCGAGGTGAGCCATTCGGCCACCTCAGTTGAGGCGGAACCCGCGGTCCACTCGGTGAAAACGCACGGATATATCAACACTCGGTGAAATTGGAATTTTCACAGAAAAATCAAAAATGCTTGTATCTCGCTACAGAGACATCCTGGGACCTTGCGTCAAAAACACGTATATGCTAACTTTTGATGGCCAATCCAGCGGTGCTACTCAAACATTTTTTCTCCTTCTCATACGAAGACGCCATCATGATTTTCTCCCAATAAATTTGAAAAATTCTGAAAGAATGGTCTTTTTTCGAAAATATTTGTGGTATGTTGACCCCCATATAGAATGTGTGCATGCAAAATTTCAACAAACTAGTCTAGCTCTATTAGAACCTGATCCAAAAGAGTGTTTCATAAATAAAACATTTTTCAGAATAGTTTAAACCTCTCAAAAAATTAAAATTGTTGTGAATTTATAGAGATCACTGTACTCTTTCAGTACGTTTGATCGTGATCATTAGCATTCGAATTATTTCAGGAAAGCTGTTTTTTGATTAGCGCACTCGATTATCCCTTACCGAAAACCAGTCTCAGATGACAGGAGAAATATTTTTATGCAGGATTGAGGTGAGAGATAAAGAATTGGCCTCGTTTAAATCAGCTTAACCAAGTACCAACTTACACCTTTCTAATCCGAGGTTCTAAACAAGTAAAGTATTGGATATTCTCGCAAACAGTTACTACATTCGTAATCAGCATGCTCGATTACCCCCTGTGCCAAATCCCAGCTTCGTAGCTCAAACTTTGCAAGAAATCGATGAAATCGATATCGATCGATGACGAAAAGTAGCCTATGACACCCGCCGGGGCCCGTAGTGTATGTGTGCCAAGTTTGGTCCGGATCGGTTCAGAAATGGAATTTTCTATTCGGAACATACGTACAGACATACAGACAGACAGACATACAGACAGACAAACAGATATTCAGCTTTATATATAAGATAAAGGCGGCTTACTAGGAAAGGAAAAAGCGGCCAGGAACTCCGAATGAATGCGGGAAGTGAAAAGGATGTCAAACCTGCAATATAAATAAATTTACAAATTTTTCTCATTATCCCATGCAACGCAGATTAATTATATAGAGTTTGGAACGGCGTAAAACTTAGCCGATCTGGAACAAAAGGATTTAGAAATGGATGACTACGAAGAGATACCAGGTGACAGAACTGTCATCATAGAGGGAAGAGAAGAAGAGGATGATGATAACAATGAAGAAGCTATGGCGCAAAAGACGAAAATGAAGAAAATGGCGGGAACGACAGCGTTGTTACGGACACAAATACACCCACATACACAAATGCCTTCATTGCAATATGCGATAAAACGACAACCAACAAACTTTTCAGAACACTTCATCTTGACTACATGTCAAGTCCGCACATCATCCAGAAATGGAGTAATAGAAAGTATTGGCATCGTTTATTTTGCTGTAACATGAAACTCAAAAAAATTATTAGAAATTCGCAAATTAATGACACTTAAAGGGCCTTACTGGAACATAGTTCTAAGTTGTTTCATGCTGTTAATATCTCTACGCACCAACCTTACTCCACATTTTTTTCAAAATCTTTGCAGCATCCAGCAATATGGAAAGAATGAATTAGTTGCAAGCAAGCTTTGGACTAGCTCAGTCTGCCTAAAAAACTTTTAAACTATGAATTTACGAGTATACATTAAACTACAAGTTTCACATTTATAGCTCACACCCGAAATTATCAAATTTATGAAAAAGTCAGCAAAAGTTTCTCTCTCATTAAGATACCTATTTGACATTAACTTTGAAGGATTCCAAAGCTTATTAAAGTTTCTATCACATCCTTATTTGCATCCGTTTATCTCCTCATTTTCTGGATTATTACCATTTTTTTTAAATTGGAGCTTTTTTCCAAGTTTCGCAATGCTCGAGGTCTTTCAGAAACTCGGGCTCAGTTTATACTTTTGTAATTATTTAAAAATCCAAGCAAAGTGCCATCACACCTTAAGAAGTTTTTTCATTTCCTCCAAAGGTTTTTTCCGTTTTTAACTTTTTGAAAACGTTCATCATATTTCTTTGATAGAATTTCATTAGATGCTACCCATTTCCATGCTTGGTCTACAATCTTTGTAACATGAAACGACGAGCAGATCGGTTGTCGTTCGATGCATTTATTTTTCCTCTTTCTAATGGGTGTTTTCTGTTTCTGACTCGCGAAATCTTTGGAATAAAGCCATTACAACTTTTGGATTCGAACGCGCCATGAACCCTACTCAAAAATTCAAAATTCATTATTTCGGATCCGTAAACTCGAATTTGTTCCACAAAATCAGTGTTGAATCATAATTATCTTAGCAGTATCAAATTCCGGAGCTTTTCTGGTGTTTAATGCGTTTGTGTCTGACGTGGGTTTGCTAAGAGCCGGTGCTTTGAGTAAGAAAAAATTCTAAACAAGAATACGGCAAGCTAAGGGAATGAGACCAAAGTTGTACTGTAACTGAAGGTAGGCTGGTGTCTAGTGGTATATTGAGGTTTTAATCTCAATGTACTGGGCACACGAACAGATTGAAAACAAAAAATCTTACCCGTATAACAAAACGAAGACCAACGGCCCCAAGACCAACAACGAACAGAACAACGAGGAAAAACACCAAATCAGGGGAAAGGTCCCAATTTGACCTTCTAGCAGACCTTCGCGCGGTTATGTCTGGATCAATTCTCGGTGAGTTTTCACGTGGGGAGATGTGGTTCTCTCCTAATCAGTTTTCGACTCCCACGAGCCTCTTCTTCTCGATGCTCCCCGTTTTCTTCCCCTTTTGTGCCTCTCCCTTTTCCTTCCTTTTTTTGCGGTGAGAGTTCGGCACGTTGGGAGTTCTTCTAATTTTGCGCCGGGTGCTCGCATACTGATGGCTTCATATAGGTGTCTGGTATTCATTACTGCACAGTAAGTGTTGTAAAACTGAAATAAATTTTCAGGCGCTCTTGCTTTATCCATACTCCACCATTTTCAACAGGGTAGACGCTAAAAGGTATAACTGGTCCGGGCTGGCGAATTCTTCTAAGGTGGCGTTGATTATAGTCCACAATTCTGCCATGACTTTCCATATGTGTACCTCGCGACATTCTATTCGTGGCCAAGCTGCTATCAGTTCTCCTTCTTCTTCGATTCTTTCAAAATGGTTTTTGCAGACCAACAAGATATTCGTGATTGCTTCTTCTTATTTCCGCGTATCCGGCCACACGATGACTAACGTTTGACAGTGTTTCAGTCCTTGGAAGGCATTCTTGAGTTGGCTAAACTGCATGACTTTCAGTGATCACTCTCCTCACCGGCTTAGCCCCCATGTAATTGAGGGCTAGCGTCTAGAAATCTCCAATCGCTTCCACAGTACTGTTTGCTCTAGGGTTGCTCGGTCCTCCGGAGAGTTGGCATAAAGATTTTCAGAATAATGGCAAAACTTCTCGAAAAAGCATGCCTCGCAGAGGTTGATATTTAAGAGCCCGTTGATTGTGCCGCAGTGAAATTGTAAGTAATTGAAAAAGGTGAAACGATGCATTGTATAATACAAGATCTCCCAAAAATCTTTGTTACGCGGACTGTGGCGCCCGTCTCAAAAATGCGAAACTACTTTCGGGTGGACCTAGTATTTTTACGCAACATCCTAGATAGCCGTGAGGCGCTCGAACTGTGTCAAGATGTCACTACTTTTTAGATGACATTAGTGGTTTTTTAACGCTGAAAACTCTGATCCGCTTGACAGACAAACAAATGGGAACGAACCTGACGGGAGAATTTAAAACGATCTGTGGCTCAACTAATTGGTTGAGTTTGAGCCATCTTACTATACTCAGCTGCACCTCCTCGTTACCTTGAGGCAGCAGACCTGAAGGACAGCGAAGATATGTAGAATAGTTGGGTGTTACTGCCTACAGTAAGTCTACTCTGCGCAAAAATACCAAATGCAGATGAAGCCGATTAAAGGAAGGACCTACTTCCTTCATACTGCTTCAATGCTTCTATTTCAGAAGTCAAAAATTAACAACTGATCGATCTGTTTTTTAGGGAACTCCATTTTGTCTTTTGGGTATTATGACGTCGATAGCTGTCACGAGTGCCTTTTTGATTTTTTAGATAACAAGTTTCTATGGTCATAATGAAACAACAAATGGGAAAAAAATGACGCGCTGTTTCCCTTAATTTTCCAAAGAAGAGAACTAGAGAGAACTCTACACGGTAACATGGCCACGACAGGACGTGCCAATTCAAAAACACTCACAAATCAAAAGTGGAAACGTGTTTACACAACGAATAAGAGATACAAAGAATAAGAGAACTCTCACGGCTGGAATAATCTTCTTTTTAGCAATTTTAGTTCAATGTGTTCTCCGCTAAATTGCGTAAGGAGGATTCTTCGCTTGATCTTCTATGAAACATAGTTGCCCACAAATAACTGACTTTGTTGCAGATTGAAGGTACTCAGAGAATAACACACACTCTTAGCAAAGTATTTTACGTTGAATTTCCCTGCAAGCACGCTGCACAATGCTTTATTTCATCTTATCACAAGAAGAAACAGGCAATGAGGAGAAGTGCTCGTTTCATGCAGAATTCTTCTTCATTCCCATGTGTATCTCATACAAACACTTTCTCTCGCATATAGATTTGGCAGCTTTGCACTTCTTCATGCATTCCATGCTGAAAACACATTTTTGTTGCGCATTGAAACAACGTAATTTCAGCCTTACTAGCGTTTCCATTTTTCTGGCGTGAATATTTCAGCATTCGTTAGTCCTAAGAAACAAGCTCCCAGGAAGAAAAAGAAAAACAGCAGGTTCATAGTTGTTTTAGCAATATGAGTTGTGCCCTGAAAAATTCTGATTTTTGGGTTTGCTTGTAACATGAGAGAAAAGCGACAGCACTGTTTATGACTGATTGAGTCTCCTTTGGAAGACATGGATATATTGAAAAAGAGGGATTGAAGCGAACTTGCGATTAGAAGGTTAGAAAAGTTCGATGAAAGCTGCACTGTGTTTGTAAAGAATGAATTGATCAGTGTGTGATGCTTGTAATTCAAACCCACTGAAGTGGTAGGATTGTAATAATGAACTATGTTTTTTCTCTTTTGTGCAGGTTGTCCTCTCTTCGATATCAAAGAACATAATGCCTAGACAAGAGCAAAGGCTATTTTATCATCTAAGCGAGCATGAAAAAATTTTACTCGCAAAATAAACTCCCGTAAGTTCTCGGGAAATTCATTTAGACTATCATACTTCGGTCATCAATAGCCATCAGGGAGTACAAGTACCGTAATTGAAAGTGGACTTCTAAGCGGAGTATTGGCGTTAGTTATAAACTAAAAAATTTTCCTTAAACTGCTGTATGCAAGTTTTGCTACAAGAACAATGTTCAGCCTATCTCGAAAAGTAGCCCATGAACGCCTCCCAGATACACGGTTGTCTCAAAAATAGGCCTGTTCCTATAGGATGGTCGCAAGACAATTATAGCTGAAGAGCTCATATGTAAGTGCTGTGCGCCTATTACTGCTGCTTTGATGATTTTGAATAACGATTTTGGAACGCTATATGTAATGAGAATTCTCTTTAAAAAATGTGCAATACTGAGCAGTTTGCATCCAAACATGCTTTTTTCTGATTTAGTAAATTTGAGGTTCTCTCTTCTTGGCAAAGTGAGCCAAATGCTGCAACGTGCAAAGGACGTTTTATGATATCTCGCGCATCTTTTGCGAGAAAAGTTGGTGCAAGTTTGACTGTTAGTAATATTTGCGCATTTAGCAGAATTTGAGTGCAATTGCAGTTTGCAGTCGTCGAACTCCCCATTTAGTCACTCTATACTAAAACGATTTTTATTCTATGAAAATGAGCAGTGAAATTTTCATCGTTAGAAAGACTTTTTTATGTAATTTAGACAGGTTTGAATACCACTATAGTCAAAAGTGAGATCTGGAAGAGTTTCTTCGCTCTCTATAACCTCAGAAAAAGCGTTGGAAAGCAAAACAAAACAAGCGGCCTTGTACTTTCAAACAGCTTTATACTCAGATGAGCTCTTTCGCATCGCAATGAAAAGCGTAAATTCTGGACTTTCCGTAAAGATTTTTTCATACGCGCAAAGTTCATTTCGTGAAAAGCGCTAAATGCGATTTAGCATCTTGCAAGAAAAAGCATCAAAAAATTTCATAGCTTGAATCTCTCATACTTAGGATCAAAGACAATTGTAGCCTTATTGCATAACTGAAAGTTTGGAATTAGTTCTAAAATTGCTATTGCAAAAGCTACTTTCTATTAAAACCAAGGGAACCTAAAAAAGAGAATTTATTAGGTGACTGTCGGATTCAGCTGCAGGTGGTATATATATACTGCTTTTGTGACTTCTATGATTTCTGTGGCAATAGCTTTTGTGACGTACTCAAAAAAAAGTTTGGATTATAATAGATTTTGTATGCTTCGGAGCTAAAGAAAACTCAAGTTAAGCTACTTGAATGTGACAGCAAATCTTTGCATCGTTAATCTTCTCATTTTCTTTGGCCAATTCGAAGCTTAAGATAGATAAATCCGTTTGTTTTTTCTGCACCGTGTACAGAAAAGTTCTCTATCTTGCTTAAGTCAGCTCTATTCCAAATTTTTTGTTACAGATGCTGCTAAATCTTCTTTGTATACCAAAGTGTGCCTATGTTCTCCAACCAACTCTTGACTATTAGTAAACATGCTATTATCGGAAAAAAATCTACGTTTCAAGATAAGATGATTAGCAACTGAGCAATTGGAAAACGCCCATTTGTGAACTGACTCATTTACATGGCAGGTTGTTTAGGGCTGTTGAATCCTTAGCCTTTTTATGTTCGTTGGAAATTTGTTGCAGCAAGTGACGCACAGTTTTCATATCGCTACAGTCTTTGATCTATTCGTGCTAATGGGAGCAAGGATTTGAGCTGCAATGAAAAATTTGAAACACATTTTGATTTTCATAGCTGCAAATTCTGAGCGGCATCAAAGAAATCACCATTACCATCATTCTTTCCAACTCAATGTGCCATCATTTCATACCACAGATTTATATCAACAGAACAATCAGTTTACTCAACTAAATCAATCAAAGCAAAGTGGAACGTAATATCAAATTCAGAGAATAGGCGTATTGATGAAAATCACTTTTGAAGTATGAAGATTTGTACAAATGCACAGTAAGAAGAGTGCTTCTGATCATAGGAGACCACTGAAGCAATATACGCAAAGCAATAATAAGAAAGTTGTCATTATGCCAAAATTTTCACTTTGTGCAAAATCATGTGGAGCGCTTTGATGTGGGAGGCGTTGCCAAGCACAAGCACTACAATATAATCTCTAAACTTTTTGAGATACATTTAGGCTGCGTTCATACTGATTTTATGTTCCGGAACAGTTCCAGCACAGCGCTCGAACTGTGCACTGTGCTGAAAACCTAAATGTATCTCAAAAAGTTTAGAGATTATATTGTAGTGTTTGTGCTTGGCAACGCCTCCCACATCAAAGCGCTCCACATGATTTTGCACAAAGTGAAAATTTTGGCATAATGACAACTTTCTTATTATTGCTTTGTGTATATTGCTTCAGTGGTCTCCTATGATCAGAAGCACTCTTCTTACTGTGCATTTGTACAAATCTTCATACTTCAAAAGTGCTTTTCATTAATACGCCTATTCTCTGAGTTTGATATTACATTCCACATTGCTTTTATTGATTTAGTTAAGTAAATTGATTGTTCTATCGATATAAATCTGTGGTATAAAATGATGGCACATTGAGTTGGAAAGAATGATGGTAATGGTGATTTCTTTAATGCCGCTCAGAAGTTGCAGCTGTGAAAACCAAAACGTGTTTTAAATTTTTCATTGCAGCTCAAACCCTTGCTCCCATTAGCACGAATAGATCAAAGACTGTGGCGATATGAAAATGTGCGTCACTTGCTGTAACAAATTTCCAACGAACATAAAAAGGCTAAGGATTCAACAGCCCTAAACAACCTGCCATGTAAATGAGTCAGTTCACAAATGGGCGTTTTCCAATTGCTCAGTTGCTAATCATCTTATCTTAAAACGTAGATTTTTTTCCGATAATAGCATGTTTACTAATAGTCAAGAGTTGGTTGGAGAACATAGGCACACTTCGGTATACAAAGAAGATTTAGCAGCATCTGTAACAAAAAATTTGGAATAGAGCTGACTTAAGCAAGATAGAGAACTTTTCTGTACACGGTGCAGAAAAAACAAACGGATTTATCTATCTTAAGCTTCGAAAGTACTCTGCGTTGATACCACTGAGCTT